TAAGCCAGCATCTGTTTCTTTTGATGGCAGCAAAGGGGTCAAGGTGCAAGATTGTGAACATGCATTTCATTTGACAGAGAAAACAATGAAGAAACTGTTCTCTGTCCTGTTGAACACTATAATAATAATAATAAACAAGAGGATTCTACTTTGTCAGAAATAAATCCACAGAAAGGTGTTGCTAAGCTAAAAGAGGATGACCTAATAAATATTTTAAGACACAGGGATATTGGATTTATGAAGTTTGATACAACAGGCTCAGCAGTTGTAACACATGCACATCGCAGAGAGATTGTTAAAGTTGGAGCACATGAATTTCAACATAAAGAAGGTCTATTTCATGCCAAAGATGGGCGTTCTATGACTGCATTTTGGTTCAAATGATGCCTTTTGAATGGACAATAGGTTAATCGTTCCTGGTTGGTGTATTCACCTCTACATAAAGCAGCATATTGCTTTTGTTGTCTTCTTTTTTCATCTACATGTATGATATCCGATAGTCGGCCTGCTTTCAAAACACAGGGTGGATTCTGTAAGTGGAACAAATTGAAAACTTAAATGGGGCCAATTGCTCACGGTGGGCTAAATCAGATGTGGAATCAAATAGAATACCATAGAGATTTATAAACTCATTTTGGATTTCAGGAGAAAGATAAGATGTTGACATTGGCTTGTTTTTAACACGCTCTAAATGCTCTCTCATTACTGCAAAAGTGACAGGAAATTTCCAGGTTTTTCGTTTTCATTTGAACTAAATATTGTGTACAATCCAGCAACCGTCGCAGTACATCTCTCCATTTATTTTTTTCTTGCTGAATTTCCCTTTGCAGCTCTTTATCAATGCCACTTTGAAGACGAATTCGGCGCTCAGTTTCTTTCCAAGCAACAAATGACTCACAATGATTGTCACTATTTTCATGTGAAGTGATTCGGTTTGTTGACATTGACTTTAAGACAAGAAAACTAGAAATCAAAGAGTCATTTATTGACTTTATACAGATAAAGGAAAAAGACGCTGCCAATATTGAGAAAACAATAAGCACAAAATTAGAAGTGGATGGAATTTTATTGAATGATTGTTGTTCATAATGTTATAATAATGCTGTTGTCATGTCAGGTCTTCTGTCAGGCGTTCAACAAAGAATTCTGAACATAAATCCAAAAGCAGTGTTTATAAACTGTGACGGCCATAGTTTGAACTTAGCATGTCTTCATGTTGCAAGTCAGGAAACAACAGTTATTACATTTTTTTGGTATAACTGAAGCCATTTATCATTTCTTTGCTCATTCAACAACTCGATGGGACGAACTGCAGCAGGAGCTTAAGATCTCTGTCAAGCGTGAATCAGAAACACGGTGGAGTGCAAGAGAAAAGGCAGTAAAAATTGTACATGAAAATCTGGATGAATTGCTAGGACTGAATTACTAGAGCAATTAAGTGAGAATGGCAACACGGCTGAAACAAAGCGTGGTGCTCATAATATTCTGCAACGCATGCTTACATTTGATTTTCTTGTACTTTTGCATTTTTGGAGAAATCTTTTATCATCTGTCAATCGAGTGCAGAAACGTCTTCAGGACCCCAAAAACGAATTTTAGAGAAGCAGCTTCTGATCTTGATTCTTTGAAAGAGAAATTGATAGAATCACGTGAAAAGTCCTGTCAAGAAGCACTTAAATTGGGAAAGAATCAATGTGAAACATGGGGATTGACCATTGAAAGAAGAAAAATACGTCATAAACGAATGCCAGGTGAAAATGCAGCTGATGCTGGATTGACTGCTGAACAAGAAATTTATCGCACCATGAAGGATGTTCTTGATCTCTTGATTACAGAAATAACAGGAAGATTTTCTCGCTTACTAGATTTAGATTCAGGGTTTGGATTTCTACTAGATGTGCAAAATATTGTTTCTGGAGATTTCGAAGACAGAAAGTTGCAAGAAAAATGTTCTGACTTAGCAAAGAGCTATCCAGGGGATATTGATGGACCAGAATTGTACAGAGAAATTAAAGACTGTAGAATGTTGATAAGTAAAAGAACACAGAACGATTTTCCTGAACCAATGGTTGCAACTGATTTGCTAACATTTATAATTTCATATGGTGAAGATGTTTTCTCAAATTTAAGAATTGCATTGCAGATTTTGTTAACAATTGGGGTTCTATTGCTAGTTGTGAAAGGTACTTCAGCAAGCTAAAATTAATTCTTACACACTTGAGAACTTCAATGACTCAAGAACGACTTAGTAATTTGGCAATATTAGGTATTGAAAAAGACCTTAAATTTTGATAGTTTAATTGATGCATTTGCAGCAGCAAAAGCACGAAAGGTTCGTATAATGTAACCGTGAATACCAGAATGCTACCTGCACAAGATCTAGTTATGTATATGTACAGTTTTGTAAAATAATAAAATTTATTATTTGTGAACTTAATTAGTATTTAATCAATCTGTTTTATAATCCATGTACACCACAAGTGACTGGCTTCTCATATAAAACATAAGTTTCAAAACTAGAGATATAACAGTAATTTATTCTGCATGCTTGAAAAATTACTCTAGCTATGTGACTTTTAACAATACTGGATGACATAAATATCAAAATGGTTTACAAATTATGTAAGTACACCTAGTAGGCTATACTTCATTAGTTCGAGGTTTACAGTTGTGATATCGTGAGATGTTATATTGTGACTTTATTTTAGGCCTGTGTAAGGCGGTAATTAATTCTTAATGTTATTGTCAGTAAGTGAGTAATGAGTCACAAAACAAATAATCAAAACATTTCAGAGGTGGGGGGACGCCAAAAGTGTGTTTGCCCCCGGGTGCTGAGAACCCTTGCTACGCCACTGTTTTAAGCACTGGATGAGAGTTATTCTGTCTAAAATATTTTATTTTTTTATATAAATGAAGGAAGTATTTCCAAAAAGAAAGTTCCAAAATGTTCTTTCTAATTTAAGAATTAAGGTTAACCTTATACTGTCTTTTTATAAGTAAAAAGAAAAAATAAAGAAATATAGGCTATACCTAATAAGCTCTCTATAACATAAAAATATGAAACTAGCATGAATGTTCGACATTTAATTATGCATCCGCCATGTATTAACGGCATAATAGCTAGGTTTAACACGTACAGAAGAGGTTTGTTTATTTCATTTTAAAGCTTGACAAGCTGACAGTACACATCATTACATTCATTTGTCTGGATTTAATGCTTCGCTGGTATCGGTGCAGTAACAAGTTCAGCTAACTCGGCGGATGGCCGCTCGCCAGAACCCGGCCGTCAACCTTATCTCAAAGACTGGTGTGCAGACTATTCTCCCCCTCCCCCATTCTGGGGGCCAAGGCAAAGGCCAAGCTTATTTATTACTGCAAGCTTTCCTTAGCCCTTAACATTAGTCGCTGTTTCCTTCAAGTGGCAGAGCTGATAGGTGAACCTCACAAGAAGACAACATCACGACGTCAACAACAAAACAGCCGAATAAACCTTATTTCCATTTCTGATTTTACGTGCAAGGAATAAAGATTTATAATTCTTATATAATTTTAAATTAGGTAGCTTGTGAAAATATTTTTTTTATATGTTTTCGGCTCATTATTCGCTCACATTATTCATATACAGTTGAGGGTTTTAGGTGTATTTATTTCGCATATGAACATACGACGAAATGTAGAATGAAAATTGGATATTAAGTAATTTTAAAAGCAATTTGGTGTTCAAAATTTGATTATAAAAGTGTATTTGAATTTGACACAGAATAGCAAGAAGTGGTGTAGAAGGATATATATGATGTACTAAATACCAACCTGACACTCCGAGAGTAATAATTTCCTTAAAAACTGGGAGTTTACTATTAGATTTTTTAAGAGAAAAAAATTTCGTTTTACAGTCATTTCTATATCACAGTTATGCTTATATGCAAGCATGAGTTTATGGTGTATACACACAAAAGCTTTTAATATCAGCTGACTTAGCTTGTTTTATGCTACGCTTCGATTCGTCAATTTTTACTGACGTCATTAGTTCTGACGTTCTACCGATGATACCATGGTAAGCAGCGTAGCAACAGTCTCCTAATGACAGTGTTGTAGCACCTTTGTAGTTGTAGCTTAACTGGAGTAGAAGTTCTTGATAGTGAACTAATGATGGGAAGAAAGCATTGTAACAAGTTTCTTTTCTTTATTAATTTATGCTGTTGAATATATCTTTTAATGCATTGCCAAAAACTACAATGTCATCAAAAAAAGTTATTGGATCTGCATTTTCCATGCTAGCAAAAACTAGCTACTTTATATTTAACGTTAGGCTTAGGGCATGTGTACAAGCTCAAGAGTAAAATTAAAATTTAATCCAGACAAACATGCCACTCTCACGTACAAGATCATTAATTGCCAACATCAATGGTTCATCCACCACATCGACAAATGATTCTTTTCTTCCTCGTATCCCAGAAAATAATTCTAATGTCAACTTGCCACCTATTAAGAGCCAGACGATTGGAGGATTTAAGTCCGTTTATCAAGATACTATACAAGTTCAACAGTTGTTTCAACCGCTTTCTGTTTCAAACAGGGCTCAAACGTTAACTAGCGACAGCAGCAATGCAAGGACATCAGTCACTCAACTACCTGAGGTCTGTCCTACAACATACGCAGACACTAAATTTAGTGGTACCAGTAATAACAAGAGTGCGTCTTCAAAACCAAAGATTCTTGTGGCTACTCCAGAACAGGTAATGAAGTTATATATGCATAAACTAACTCCGTACGAACACCATGAAATTTTTAGCTATCCTAAAATTTATTTTATTGGTGCAAATGCAAAAAAGAGGCAAGGGGCCATTGGAACTTCCAATAACTGTGGATATGATGATGATCAGGGATCATACCTACATGTACCTCATGACCACATAGCTTATAGGTATGAAATGCTTAAAATTATTGGAAAAGGAAGTTTTGGTCAAGTTATCAAAGCTTATGATCATAAAGATCATCAACAAGTAGCTTTGAAAATGGTTCGTAATGAGAAACGTTTCCACCGACAGGCACAAGAAGAAATTCGTATACTGGACCATTTAAAAAAACAAGACAAGGACAATAATCGTAATATAGTACATATGCTAGAAAATTTCACATTCCGAAATCACACCTGTATAACTTTTGAGTTACTTAGTATTAACTTATATGAACTCATTAAGAAAAATAAATTTCAAGGATTTAGTTTGCAGCTTGTTCGAAAATTTGCACATTCTCTATTGCAGTGTTTGGATACCTTATATCGAAACAAAATCATACACTGTGACTTAAAACCAGAAAATGTGTTGCTAAAACAGCAGGGGCGTAGTGGAATAAAAGTGATAGATTTTGGTTCAAGTTGTTATGAGCATCAACGTGTGTATACCTACATCCAGTCCAGATTTTACAGAGCACCAGAAGTGATCCTAGGGGCTAAGTATGGCATGCCAATAGATATGTGGAGTTTAGGATGTATTCTTGCTGAACTTTTAACAGGCTATCCTCTTCTCCCAGGAGAAGATGAAGGAGACCAACTTGCTTGTATGATTGAACTGCTTGGTATGCCACCTCAAAAACTTCTGGACCAATCAAAACGATCAAAGAATTTTATCAGCTCTAAAGGTTATCCTCGGTACTGTAGCACAACAGCGCTGCCTGATGGCACAGTTGTATTAAATGGCGGTCGGTCTCGGAGAGGAAAGATGCGTGGTCCACCTGGGAGTAAGGAATGGGTGACAGCATTAAAAGGATCTGATGATCATCTCTTCATTGACTTCTTAAAACGGTGTTTAGAATGGGATCCAGTTTCAAGAATGACACCAGCAACTGCTCTACGACATGAATGGCTTCGACGTCGTCTCTCAAAACCTCCACAAATTCCTATGGATAATGAAGCTGTTGATATACAGTCTTCTAACCAGACCAATACTTTGGGAGGAATTAATAGAAGCAGCTTAATCACACATGTCAGTACTATTGGTGCTACCAAAGCTCGGACAATGGTGGCTACTATTGGTGATGAAATTTCTGGTACTATGGGTACCCATATCAAACTACCACAGATTAGTAACACAGTGACTTGATGATATCCTATCTGTAGACTTAGTTCATGTAAGTCATAGAATGCGTATGTGCCGTCCTGTGAACAAAAATAATTTTATCTTACTGGCTAATGGTCAAAATGGTTGAAGGGTATATAACTGGCATATTTCTTGAGTTTCTCAAGCAAGGTACTGTACATATGTACCAGAAGGATCTTGTATATATTTTATTGGTTGCTTTATTTATTAATGTGTTTCTCTTCTTTTTTTTTTAAGTCATGTCACTGCCACTTTCTTTTTTTTTATCACATGGCAAATATCTTTTATTTCTGCTGTTATTAGAATTATGTAACTTTTGTAATGTAAAGACACTGCAAGAAAAGGTCATGTAGAAATATCTATTTCATAGTGTGGTTACATTTAATGTGATTTTGCTATTTCACTTAACAGGCCTTAAATTCCATTTTCTGTTTTAAACGGTTTATGACATCAAGTATAAGGAAAATATGGTAATTAAAACAAAATGTTTTATGAAATTGCTAGTACAGCATGAAATTCTACTGTATAATTATGAGGATCCAAAGCCACATACTCTCTACAACTAAATTTGAACCTTCAGTTTTTTAAATATGTTATTTGATCTGTTTTTATCATTAAGTGTAGGATGGAGAATTAATTCTATAAACTAATCACTTCTGTAAAACCTTCTCCCGTGAAATTATTTGGTGTTTGGTAAAAATTCTTTACTCGCCAGTTTTAATTGCTGAAGATTAATAAAATGATTTAAACTTTAATTAGCCCCAAATTTGCATTTATTGTATATGTTTGTTAGTTTCCAAGAATTTGTAGAACAGATTTCTTCATAATTTGTGAGAGTTGTATACATATTTGTAGCAAATAGTCTTCAGTTGCTAAAAATTCATTTGCTCATTTAATCTTGGGAAAGTAAGTACTTTCAGTACAGATGATGTTTGAACCTAGTTGTATATGTATAGTTCATAACTATGTGAGTTGTATAACAATTTAAACTAATACTGAAACCTATTTTTATTGTGCTGTTTTTCTGTAATGTAGCCACGTTATAATTATTTTTAGATTCGTGTAATATCCATTATTATCTTGTAAATATCTTCAATGTGGGTGGTGACATTTACTCTCATTATTACAAATTATATATTAGTAAAAAGTCCATTTTAGATGGTAGAAGGTTCTTCTGCATTACCCTTCAACTATATTACACTTAGGTCTTAACTTATACACCTGGACTTAATTTCCATTACTAAAAATATTAGGTTTTTGCTGAATGTTTTAAATGTTTTGCAGAAAGGTTGATGTAAAGATATAGTTGTGTGTATTTTTGTTTTAGAAGGTTTTTTAATATATGAAAATCACTGAAAATTTTAAATCTATAATGTTTAAAAATATATAATTGGAGGATTATTTCCGAAACACTGTTGTGCACATGATGTAATTGTTTTTTGAAATATAAATATTCAAGTAATTCTTGGCAATGGGAGAAAGTTTGAGAAGGCTGTCTGTCTGTGCAGTTGTTACAAAACTTGATTTGGGATAAGATAACAAACTTTGTGTTATTTACTAGGTTGTTACTTGTACAAAATAAGCCTCACATACTTGAGACCTGAAATTGTAGAAAATAAGATTCAAATGTTAATACACTTCATATGCGATTAGAAAATATACTTTTTTGCCTGATATAAGGTTCCTGTAAACTTCCAGTGTGGATGGTGGTTTGCTTGTTTATTGTTTACCACCTGTATATACATGTGTGTATATTCTGTAATGTCTTGAGTTCTCACCTATTTGATCTTTTCTTTTTTCTTTCAATGAAGTATTACGTGTAAATAAACTTAACAATTATTCTAGTGGTGTAGTCAGGAAAATGTGAATTACATCACAGTATTTTGTGTAAGCATAAGTATAAAATGTTTGCTTAGAATGTTAGGACCAGACTATTGCTGGATGAATACAAAAACTAAAAGTTTTGCATGTATTATAAGGAGGAGAAAAATGTGCATATAGTCATGTTTTGCAAGCATTTAACAAATTTCATTCTTATTGTTGAATGTAAACTTACTTGTGTGGTAAGAAATACTTAACTTTCCTCTAATATTTAACTTGTTTGTCTCCTTTTCATATCCTATCATGTGTAGTTTGATAAAGCACTTTTCACTAACTTTTTCCAAAGTCTTTCAATGAGTTTAGGCAATTAAATAATCCCGGTAACCCTTATGTTTTCGTATAGCCTTCTGTTACAAGAGTAACATTTTCAAACTTCCATTTCCACATCAAGGACATCAATCTATAGAAACACTCTCAGTAATCATTAAAAATCATCTGATTTACTTAACTATTGATGTACTCACTCTTTGGATATTCCATAACTAGTATAAGATCTCATGTAATTCTGACATAATACTTGTTTTGGGCTACATTTGTGAACACAAAAATAACTTAAATATATATGTATATATATATTATCATGGCACCAGTGTTTGGTGGTAATAGTACACACTTGATCCATCTTCCTAGTTTTTGTCAATATTAATAGGTATAGAAACATTTAAATTGAGATATTTAAAGTGATACATTTGATGTCATAGTGTCTTTCATAGTTCTTGTAAATTGTAGTTGGTAAAGAGTGCTAGATGTCTTTGAGGGCCTTGGACATATCATCTTTACAATCCTGCTTTAAGTATGAAACTATAGACTGGCATATATGTGGTAGACCAGGTTGGAAGTTTCAGGCTGATAATAACGGTTATGGAGAAAACGCACATGTTGTTTTTTGCCTTTAGAAAACCTTATTATTTCACAAAGTACAAGTAATTATATCTTTAAGTATGATTCATAATTAGTTGTTCTTAAAGCTAGCTTATGGCAGTTTAGAAGAGGCTAGCCTTGGTAATACTCTAGTTAGAAGTGATTTAAACACTGGTAGTCTGAAAGTGCTCTGTTTTTTAATCCCACCAAAGTTAGAGGATTTGTAACTGAACAATTTTTTAATGTAAGTGTTAATATACATATGTATGTGAAACCAGTTATATATTGTTATGTAGGAAAAAGAATCTTCCATGAGGCTTATTACACTTGTAAGTTGAGGATGCTGTGTTAATAAAGGTGAGTTTTGAAAACTGAAGGGAAAAAAATGTGAAATGCAGCGATAATTGAAAGGTTTTAAATAAATTGTGTAGAGATTTACAGCACTTTTAAAATATATATATATATGTTTGTGTATGTGTATACTTAGCATGTTGTTCTATATATATATATATATAGAGCAAAAATTTTA